AAAACAAAGTGAAGAATGTGAGTATTGTGGTCCTCCTAACACTATTGGGCTGGCGCTATTTATGTCATTTGGTATGACTTATTATTTTTGGGCCATTAGTTGCCTTGGTGTCACTCACCTATTGGTGGCTTTGGTTTCACCCGGATTGTGTTAGTTTGCTTTTATTTGGACCATTGGATCTATTGGACGGTTGAGATCTATACTTGGTTGAGATATTTCCTTGGCTTTGACTCTTGGTCTTCATTAGGTTTTCTCTCACTTTCTCTCTCTTCTTGACTCTCCTTAAGGTAGTTCTGCTAGGGTTTCTTATCTTCTTTCTTGGGTGGTTTCTGGGGGTTTTGCTCTAGTGATTTAGAGGGTTTATAGTGGGTTCTATTAGGCCTAAAATAGTGGCTGATTTCGGTATTGATTTCCTTCCTGAATCTGTGACTAGAACGCTGTAAAACTTAGGAGATCGTTTTTCGATCGACGACCAGAAATTGAACCCATGGTTCTCTAATGACACTTCTCTCTGGATGGTGATTTGTGTGGCATGGTTGGACTATTCCTAAGCCTATTTTTCAGCCAAGAGAAAGGGAAGTAAAGCTCGATTTTGTACTCTTTAATTTCTATGTTTTTCTTTAGTTCTTGTGCTCTGAAATTTCTGATTAAAATTATTGTTGTATGTAATGGTTGATTACATTCTACTTGAGGTTTTTGAACTCTGTCATTATTGTTGATTGAGCTGTTGAATTCGGTTAGCCTTGAATTGGAGTCTATATTATGCTGTATTAATTCCTAACAACTACTAATGTCATTGTATATTAGTTACCATTTTCAATCTTTCTAGGTAGAAACTTATATTTCTTAGGGGAAAGTAGAGGTTTAGATATTTGACCAAACCGATGTAAATAAGTAGAGGAAGCTGAATAGAGATTAACAGATAAATGAGCTAAACTTTTTATGTCAATAAGGAATTATTGTGGTGTTTACAAGAGCTTACTTTTGCAATTTACTTAGTTTGATGGTGCTATTTGATCTATTTGTTTGTTGTTTCTTGTTCAATGATGCAATTAACTGGCTTGTAATTTTGATAATCACTTTGTGCTCAGGTATTTGAAGTATCTGACGAAGAAGTACCTGAAGAAGAACAACGTGCGTGATTGGCTGCGGGTGATTGCTTCGAACAAGGATAGAAGTGTTTATGAATTCAGGTACTTCAACATTGCTGAGAATGAGGCTGAGGAGGAAGAGTAATGGAAGAACAATTATTATTCATATTTCCCAAGTTGATTTTTGTTTTGCCTGTGTTGGACATCAATTTTAATGTTTTGGAATCAAAGGGTTTAGATGTTCGCTATATATGGAGTTTAGCTATAATTTCGGTGCATGTGATTTATTGATAACATTATTTAGTTGCACTACCTGTTTCGCACGTTTACTCGCTAACAATTAAAAAGGGATCAGACAATTGTGTAAGGGACAAACCTCTTGAAACAAAGTCCCAAAAATGGGTGTTTATTGAATATGAGATTACAGTTTGGACGCGAACAAGATGCCTCCAAGGAGCGCAAGCACACAAGTACAAGGGAATTGAAATAATTGAAGTTAATCTAAGAAAAGTAAATTACATATTCTCTGTTTGAGAGTGAATTTTGTCGGGGTTCTCTTCGTTGTCTTTCTCTTTCTTTTATACGGCTT